TGCTATCTTATTATCAACTTTTGTTCTTATTTTTGCACATATTTTGATGAGAAAAAGAGTGATTAAGTGATTAGAGCGAATCTCTTTCCAGTCACTTTCTTCAATATAATGCTAGTCGCGTTTGGTACAATGAGTGTATACGGATGTACTATGGCTTTACTATCATGTTTTTCGCTGTGCGAGTTTTGCTATATTCGGATTTGTCTTAATACTTTCAATCATCGTAAGTTGTGAATGCTTTTAGCATACCTTACCTACTTATTTGGATACGTCGATGGTCGGTCCTCAATGATTGTGCGGGCCCCAGCAAAATTCCAGGATTTTGACCTAGCACCTAGTTAAAATTAAAAAACAGATCCTTAAGCTTAAATTATTAGTAATACTTGTTTGTTAGCATGCGTTTTAGCAATCATAGTTCAAAAGGTGTTCCAGGTTGGTTGCCAAAGCGAGGGCCGAGTTTCTTACAGATGATAGTATTCCTGTTGTCGTTAACACTGTGCGTTCTGTGGTTCATATATCGGCGCACACCATATGCATTCATTCTTCTTGATTTTATAAATGTTACCCTTTGCCTTCATATCCTAAAATCATTAAGGCTGCCAAGTCTGAAGGTATTCCATCATATGCTTTTCCCTAATTTCCATTTCTTCTATGATTGGTAAGCAACATTACTTTTAGTGGATAACCACGCTCATGTTATGCATGTTTGTCTACGATGCAGTGATGGTATTCGCAACACCATACATGACTCGCAATGGTTGTTCTATTATGCTAGAAGTGGCAACGGGCATTGATTGCTCTACAAGCGGCAGTGATGGTTACGCAATACCACCTATTGACGCGGCTCTGCCGGAAAAGGTAACGGTTTCGACTATGAAACTTCAGCAGAAAAGAAGAGTATAGTTAAAGTTTCAAAGATCATCTTTCTATTAACCTCGGCATTAATAAATATGTCGTTTTCTTTTTCAGCAATCGCGATGTTGTTATACAACAAACATTTACTTCCGTGAAAGAAGGACACATGCAACACAACGGTAGCTGAGGTTTCGGCAGTATCACCTTCTTTAGAGCATGCAAGGGTGCATTGATACGTAATTTACTTGGTCAAACGCTTAAACGGCACAAACAAAAAGAAGAAAATCTGAACAATAATCACACGATCAACGTCTTTCTGTTTGTGCTGTTGAAGTGTTTGACCTAGTAAATCACGTATCAATGTACCTTCCCAGGCTCCGAAAAACGATACACTGCCGAAACGTCAGCTACCGTTGTGTTGTATGTGTTCTTTTCGTACGAAAATAAACGTGTGCTGTGAGCGATTTCACGATTGCTGAAAAAAAGATGACATTTTTAAAGTTTATTCATAGTTCACTCGCCTTTCCATTTCCAGTTTCCAATGTTGATGCAAGTTCCTCATTTCGATCCAATGGTGTCTTGCATAGATTTGGATATCGAGAAGGGTTTCCAAATGACAATTTTGGGTTTAGGTGATATCATCATACCAGGTGAGGTTTTGAATGGAAATTTCGTACATATTTGATTGTGATATATTAATTAAAGTGTAACGTTTAAGGCTACTTGATTACTCATTGTTTCACCATGGGTGGGATTTCCGAGCGCTCTCGTATTGCTTATGGTATCTTGTGCTCCATTGGTGAGTTTTTTCTTTTGCGACATTAATTAACTATATTAGTCTTATTCTGTTGCAGGATATAGCATAGGTTTAATAGTGACATTCTTCGCACTTGCATTTATGAACATGGCTCAACCTGCTCTGATATATCTCGTACCGTGCACGCTTGTACCTATCTGCGTAATGGCCTGTGTAAAGGGTCAGCTGTGCTTAATATGGCATGGTTCAAAAGATCTCACAGATTCAGTTGCTTCTTTAAAATCAAATGCGGTATGTGAATTAGTAATTATGGCTGCAAATGAATGCTTAATGAGAACCCGTTTTTAATCAAGGATTTTGTGCACAATCTTGGACATATATTAGCTTTTGTAGGCGGAAGAAACAGGACACAGCAGTAGTCCTAGTGCGGAAGGATAAACACCATCTAATATCCGTAGGGAAGGTCTGAATTTTTGCTTCTATCGCTCCATTATATCCTAGTTCAGTTACCGTTACTACCATGTGTTCCAAGTCTTTGCACGTTGTTTTTTTACATCGAATTACGGATTCATTGTTGCTGTTGGACTGAAAGTGCCAACCAAACTGAGGTGTTTTTGCATCTTTCAATAAGAGCTATTGCATTTACTATTTGCCATATCAAAAATGTTGTACATAACTGTGATCTATTTATGTTTTTGGTGTTAAGCGCCATTCAACGTATTTGTAGAGCGACAACTTTCTTTCCATGTGGGAACCTGTCCATTGGTGTAAATGATAAATCTAACTATATCAGATCCTGTTTTTGCTCAAATCGGTAGCAAAACACCTACCTTGGACAGTCATAAACTGTCACGTAAGTGAGTCAAACAATTTTAGAGCCAAAAAGATAGCTGTTTGTTCCCTGTTTTCAATAAAACAGCAGTGATATTCTATTTCTTAAACTGTTCCTTTGGAGACTAGGATCGGTTGAATATGGAATAAGCCAAGACTGGATGGAATATACCATCAACTGCGTTGACGAACTAGTATGAAACGACGAGACGATCTTATTTCAGAGCGTATTCTTTGTGCAGATATAGACAGTAGCGACGATTATGAAAACTACTAGGATTCCATGGCTAACGTTGGCGCGTATTCCCAACAACGGATTCGATAATCCTTTGTTGGTCGAATGACTTCTCCGGAATTCTATGGCTCTCATTAGGTCTCGTCGTATCTTGGTCTTTAAGGATTTAGGGGATTAACGACGTTCCTTAAGGATTCAAAATAAAAGGAACTGATGATACGGGATTTTGAAAGACGAATTCATTTCCCCTTCAAACTTGGCGCTTGCTCGTTTGTATTTATTTCTGCTCAAGTTTCTAGTAACTTATTTAGCCCATTACTGCCGACGGCTAACTTTGCACACGAGCTAAAGAGAACCACGCTTAATTCGATGTCGTTACGAACTCACTTTCGACAACAGACGATAATTTTCTAATATTCACAGAACCAGAAAGGTTGGGGACACCACGGGATTACAGCGGACTTTGCTCTATCTCCCTAAGTGCATTAATCTTATCAGTGGTACTAGTCATTAGTCAATGCTATTTTTTTTAATATGGGCATCAATACAAGCACATTTTTGTTAGCATTTGGAAGAGTTTTGCAAGTTCATCTTGTACCCCTCATTTAACAAGATAACCATCTTTCATCATAGCGGTTGGAACTGAGATACAACTCAGCTACCAGTCAGATGACCGGTCAGTGAACTCACTCGAAGAAAGGGCCTCTTCCCAGCCGACGCCCACCGTAACATCCTTGTCGGACAGACTATATCCAAAGTGCAGCAAAAAGACCCTATTCACATGTCACCTGCAGTCCCGTTGATCGTCGAGTGACGAGCGGGCTCCAGTAAATCTTCCATTTTTCCCTGTAGCGTGCAAGAGTAGCTCAGTGGGTCCTCCTCGCCCTAGGAACTCGTTGAGTATCATATCTTTCTTCAAGGCTCTTTGTGAAAAACTCTGACCATCGGGTCGGTGGTCTTCCTGGAGTACGTTTGACATCCCGAGGAATCCAGTCACTAACGGCTTTTGTCCAGCGGCTGTCATTCAGACGCATTACATGTCCGGCCCACCTTATCTTCGTCTGTTTGGCGTACAGAACGGCATCTTTGATTTTTGATCGTTGATGCAGATCGAAGCATCGGATCCTACCCCTTATTTGTGTGAAATGGGATACTCCTAGCATTGTCCTTTCGACTGCGCGTTCGATAACGCTGAGTGACCTTTCTTCCTGCTTACGTAGCGACCAGGCTTCTGACGCATACGTTAGGGCAGGAAGTATTGTTGAGTCGAATAAAGGTGGGCACGTAGTCGGGTGTTCTTTGTTCTCTTCACTACATCCTCAATGCTCTTAAAAGCTCCCCAAGCCACTCGTTTCCCTCTGCTCAGCTCTGGAGCTAGGCCGTTATTAATATTGATTTCCCGACCTAGATAGATATAATTGGAGCATTCGGAGATACTCGTTCCGTTGAGCGTGAATGGGGCATGAGAAACCAATCCGTTCTTCATGAACATCGTTTTTGTGACATTTAGTCGAAGACCAGTCTTACAGGCTTTATCAATGTCGTCAAGCATACGTTGCGCTTGACTAATGTTTGGTGTTATAAGGACGATGTCATCAGCAAAGCGAAGGTGGTGTAACTGCCGACCGTCGATTTTNCCCCAAGCCACTCGTTTCCCTCTGCTCAGCTCTGGAGCTAGGCCGTTATTAATATTGATTTCCCGACCTAGATAGATATAATTGGAGCATTCGGAGATACTCGTTCCGTTGAGCGTGAATGGGGCATGAGAAACCAATCCGTTCTTCATGAACATCGTTTTTGTTACATTTAGTCGAAGACCAGTCTTACAGACTTTATCAATGTGGTCAAGCATACGTTGCGCCTGACTAATGTTTGGTGTTATAAGGACGATGTCATCAGCAAAGCGAAGGTGGTGTAACTGCCGACCGTCGATTTTCACTCCCATATTATCCCATTCCAATGTTTGCATGACGATACGGAGGGTGGCGGTAAATAATTTTGGCGAAATGGTATCGCCTTGTCTAACTCTTCCTTTGACGTCAATGTTAATATAGTTGTAAAACGGTGTTATCTTGGTTGTGAAATTTTTGTACAGCTCACAAAGAATCTTTGTGTACTTAGTAGGGACTCGTTGACTACTAAGGGCTTCCGAGACTGCTTCTCTCTCAATTGTGTCAAAGACCTTTTGTAAATCGATGAAAGTGAGACAGAACGGTCTTTCGTACTCTCGCGATACTTCAATGAGCCGTATCACTGCGTGAATGTGGTCCATCGTACTAAGTCCTCTTCGAAACCCTGGTTGCTCACATGGCTGTCCTTCGTCTAGTGCTCTGTCGGTCCTGTTTAGGCCGGTTCGAGTGAAAAGTTTGTAGACGACAGACAGCAGATTGGGCCATAGTTGCCGATATCGTGCACGTCACCCTGCTTGAACATTAACACGGTCTTGCTGGCCTTTCACTGAGTAGGGACCTTGCATTCAGACAGGTAACGTGTGAAAAGCCGAGCCAGTGTGTTTACGAGGACTGGCGGAAGGTTCTTCAGGTGTTCATACCTTATCCTGTCCGGACCCGGTGCTGTTCGATTTTTCACGGACGAAATGGAATGTCGTATTTCGGAAGGGAGAACGGGTGGTACAACATATCCATCCTCCTTTATTTCATATGACGAAAGCTGGACGTGGCTTTCGAGAGATCCGAGTGGTATTCGTGAATGATTTTCTCCATTGTCTTTCTCGAAGCTGTAACTGTTCCGTCTGGGCGCCGGAGTGCAATCATTTTCGTCTTGTAATTGGCGAAGCTTCGGTGGGCTTTACGAATGCTTTTCCAGCCTCTGCAGCTTCGGCCATTACCGCTGCTCTTCTCTCTCTAAAATCTCCTTTTATCGTCTGTCTGCATTGTTTTGCAAGTTCGGACGTTAGTTCGAGTTGCCTGCAGCTCGTGTGGTTCCACGCTGGCGTATCAGCTCGAGTGCTTCTGGAGACAAACGTCTCTTGGTGACTTTCGAACCCTCAGCTTTCATAGCGATAACGTGAAGATGTTAAATGAGCCGATCGTATTCTTCGTCGATGTTATCGACAACGGCATCTTCCCAATAGCCGACTAATGAATTGAGTAAGTACCAGTTTGCGGTGGTTCTGGGACTTCGGTTTTGGAATTTAGCGGCTTTTTCTTCTTTCCACGAGAAATAGAATCTTGCACGAAGGAGGCGAGGGTCTGATCCAGTTTACAATTTTAGGACAACAGCGACATCGGTTAGGCAAAACCCTCTATTTACTATGATGTGCTCAACTTCGTTATGGTACTCTCCATTGGAAGACTCCTAAGTAAAGCGCTGAGGACGGGGCTTCTGGAATTACGAGATTGTTTTGGTCGCCATGATAAACTCAGACAGCAGCTCACCCAGTTCGTTCCATTCTAATCCGTGGGTCCCAATGTGACGTTCTTCAGACGTTCTTCTTGGTCCAGTCTTGGCGTTGAAATCTCTAACGATGGCTTTGAGGAATGTACGGTCTTCTCTGTAGAACTTCTCCAAGTCCATATAGAACGCTTCGACTTCTTCTTCGTTATAGTTTGATGTCGGCGCGTAAACGACGAAAATTGTCAAAGCCGGAATCGATCTACGTCTTTTTAATCGAAAGCGTCCGATTCCGAATGTAAGTTGTTCGAATGAATCGATGTTCATGAACAAACTCGTTTTGACGAGAACGCCGACGCCGTCGACTCCTCTACTGTCGCATGCTCCGAGTAACAGTTCCTATCCGGTGTTATAGACGGTTTTGAATGAGTGGCGTCGTACTTTATCGCTCTTGCTTGCATGGGCAAGTTTTCTATCGAGGACTCGATTGCAAGTATACGTGCATTGTAGGTACAGATCGTCACCTTAGTTATTCGCGATCCAGGCAGCTTCCATTGGCCCTGAGATTTTAGCAGCCTCTGCGTACTTGTCCTACCCAACGCTGCGAAACTGGGAGCTCTTTCGGGGTCAGGGAATGAGGCCCGTTTTTTATTTACTGTGTTTAGCATTTTGATGCTCACGTATAGCTTGCTGGGCTTTGGACGTAGTGGCTGGATATACTCACTGGTAGTTTGCCAGGCTCTCCCAGAGTGGACATGGAGCTTATTCGCTGGAGGCGACTCATGACCGCCTCCCATATACTTCCCTCCGAATTGACTCGTAGAATACAATCCGCATAAGCTAGAACGCGCCTATACACGCGTGCATGAATATGCCCCGTAAATACAGAAAGTATGTGCCAAATCGGCGCAGCAGAAACAGGGAGTCGATCGCCTGGATCCACCTTCGTCTCAGGGAAGCAAAGGTCGCTTTTGTTCCGCGATTAACCCCCTACCCGCCATCTGGGGACGCGCCACGTAGCCTCGCGACTAACCGGCTCGAATTCCCTCATGAGGGAGCAGCCCCATCGGTTATCGAGAAAAAGGCATTTGACGAAGTCGGATGGAATATCATTCCATCAGCACTTGTCGACCAAGGTATGGACTCATCAAGCGAGAAGTCTGAACTGTACTGTGAAAATACAGTTGCACACTAAAACCTATACCAAACGCATAGAAAAGTGGTTTGTCAGATTCACACCATCATATCGAAGTAGTTAACCGTCGTATTATACTCCTCGTTCTCTTGGAGCTGGATTGACGTGAGTATTAGTGGAAAATTCTAACCATACCATTTTACGGACGACATCTTCATCTTCTCGCCATGTACCATTAGTGCAGCGACGATGCTCAAAAGCATTAACAAAGTGTGGGAAGGTATGAAAGAGCGAATAAATCGTAAAGAAACCAAGTTCATGGTAAATCCGTGATGCGATGTAGAACAGATCGAGACGGACGATTGATTCTTCCATTGCAGATATCACATTCGAGTGGTTCCACGGAGAGTGAAATCATGTTAAGCAAATGAAAATGTCTTGAGTGCGACGTGAAATAAATCGAAATGAATGACTCTATGTTTACACACGCTGCATCGCAAGCACGCACATAGACAGTCAAGCAAAAGTGCAAAACTGAATTAAAAAAGGTTTATGCAGAAGAAGGAGAGCAGAGTGGGCCACAATCGGGCTTCTTTAAGGAACCCACAGGTCAACGGAGAGACCTAAAACTCCGTGCGTGCCCTTGGGACCAATGAGTTTTTCTAAGGCTCAGCTAGGCGTGGGTTGACATGTCAACCATGCTTGCGCAGTACTCATTTCAAAAAACATTTTCTCACAATTCACAAGAACATACTACATTAAAAGTGAAACCGGAGGAATGTAAGTGATGAGGAGAGATCAGGATAGATGATCGAAGAGAACAATAGAATGAACTCAATCTTGGTGTAGACGTCCTCTACGGCAAACGGCTCCTCTACGGCGGATGGACGCCTCTTTTCAGCCTTTTTTCGTGTTTTTCTTTTTTTTGCGGTCTCAGACAATATGATTCATAAAATGATAATTTGAGACATCGTCGTTATCGAAACAAACCTCTAAAATGAACGACGATGGCGATGAAAAAAGGGAGCTGGAAATATGCTGAAACCTTATGACTCATAAACACGAGCTGTCCAAATGTAGAAAACAAGTGGTGAAACGATGAAGGTTGATTAATCCCGGGGATAAGCCTTGTACACGATTTCATTCCGATCATGCAACCAAGATGACAGAAGGCATATTTGTTCTGAACAATCACTTCCGAAGTCCTGCCGATGTATCAAGCCAGTGGTTTTATCTTCCTGGAAATTTCTGATACCATGTTGCCGGGTCAGGAGAAAGCATCGCTAGCCTGATGAACGGAAGTGAACCAGCGATGACGTGTAAATTACATGTTACTTCTAACCACAACGCTACGGGCGTCTTGCTCAGATGTACTGGTTGATGATCAGGTACTCAGTACAGTTTTCTTTTAATCTTAGACAAGCAGGTCACATTGTTTGATCAGTTCCCTATCGATGTGATTGCAATGTTTCGTTCAAGATTTCGTTTCAGTCACAACATGTACCGCTTACCTCTTCCCTCCAGTGCAACATCTCTGCAGTTTATTTCTCAGTTTTCCTTTCAGTGTTTCTTATAAAAGCTGAAAACCTTATAGTACTCATAGTAAGGATCATCGCAAATGGCCATAGATCTGCTAATATGAGTCTGTCTTCTTTGCAAAAAATTGCAGATGAACGCAGAGATCTTTTCAGGAAGGGTTGAGTGTCCAGCGAGACCTGTTCCCTCGTATCCTTCCCCATTTTATTTCGAAGGAATGTTATCAAATAGTTACTGGAATTACAGGTAGTTCGTCACCACCGGCTTGAAACAGGTCAACGGTAGAGAGACGAGTTGTCCCATGTGAGAGGTCTGCCCATCTTCGTGCTATTGGTCGAAACTAGGACTTCAGAGAGAGGAATCTGAAGTGTTTTTTCTCTGTTAGTGATTTTTAAGTACGGAGAAAAGCGAACAGCGAACAGGAGATAATGTAGTCCATTCCATGCCATGGCGCAGGTGGTAAGAATCATTTCTTAGTGAAGTAGATCTATTAGTAGAGATAATTGTTGGCTGTCGTGACCTCCGCAACCTTTAAGACAACACATGCCAATCAGTTCTGTTTCGAAAGAAGAAGGAAGCGGAACGAAATTCCGTGCCTCATTTACATCGCACCAATTGTGAATCAGTGTGATGCGCACCGTCCAGTTCAAAAGTGCTTGATCTGTTCACTTTCGAACGAAGATACTATGACGCATAAATGTCTTTTTTTCACCTTTTGCGGTTCAACCATGGAGAGACCTTTCGTCGTGATTACACAGGTTGAAATCAACTAACATCTGTTGTAAAGTAAGCAAAATACTCTCCCCATCGAAGGGAAAAATGCGCGCCAATGAAACACGCGACGCGGCCACTTCAATTTTTGGCGGGAATGCGCTTCTATATGAAGAGTGGTCATTCTTCATCTCTTATCTTAGGTGCTCAGTTTTATTGCAATTGTTTATCACTTCCTCATGATATTTTGCGTTTGATATCTTTTTGTAGTGGAGTAGGGTGACTTATTCTATTGCGATTCCAATTCCAGTGCAGTCGTTTCAAAGAGAGACGGTCTCGATGTGTCTCTTCGCGTCGCAAAATGTTTCGTTCTATTTCTTTTTTCAGGTCTGTCTTAGCTACGAGTTTGTTGCCATGAGTCTGGAGAATGACGCAAATGGTAATGAGGGCGAGAAACTTGATCCTGAAAGTGAAGCCGACCTCATCGATCTGACCTCAGCTACTGAAAACGTCTCTTTAGACGAGACTGGCTCGTCGAGTTCGTTGGTTGATCTCCACGCATGCGGCATTTGCTTCCAAGTTAGTCTGTTTTCATTTTCTTTATGCGTTGTTTATCTACTTGTCCAGCAAGCCGGTAACGGAACAGAATTATTGGTGTTTCGAAGATGTGAGTTTAGTGATGACGAATACTGGAGTGAGGTTGAAGGTCAAATGAACTTGTTTGCCAAGTATCTTAATTTGTGATAAATCCAAGGAAAACCAAAAAAAAGTAGTGTAGATACCAAATATGATGTTACATTGTTGCTGCCTTATGTTCTTGGAGAGATTTTTCTTTCTTTCGGGAACAAATTTCTTCCCCTTTCTGGCGTATTGGTTATCTTTTAATGATTTCTGCCATCTTTCAGCCTTACAATGATTCGGAGCGTCTTCCAAAAGTGCTTTCATGTGGTCATACCAACTGTCTTGCGTGCTTAAATAGTTGGGTGAAGCACGGTTCCTCCGTCTTCCCTGTCTGCGCCGTATGTCGCAGAATTACTCATAAACCGGTTTATTTGTTACCAAACAACTTCCAACTTTTGGGTCAGTTCGCAGTATTAGTTTCACGGTTTTTGCTGTTTTTTTTAAAAATAACTTCGTTATTTATAGAAGTTCTACGGCGTATGAAACTGGTTTCTATGGATTCTCCTCCAACATTTCCGGAACAGCTTCAAAATGCTTGCTCCGCTACTGGAAGTAGTACATCTGAAATAGATGCTGTCTGTGAAAAAATCGATGGTAACACTTGTTATCCTTGAAATGTTCTGGCATCACTACATTTCGCTTTGTTAGGGTATATGAATGACATTGCATCATTGCTTGAGAGCCAAATGGAGCGTTTAAGAATGAACGAACAGCACCCACGAGCCACTGGTAAGTTTTTCATAGATTTTTAGCCCATAGTATACCTCACTTCAGTAGGTCACAATATGGCGTTGCGCACGGTGGAGCATTCTGTCGCTGCCTTTTTGCAACAATGGCAATCAACAAGACGCTGCTTGCGTTTTACTAATAATCCTGTAAGTTCTAATATTCTTAATGTTCTGAACTCATTTTCTTTGACAATATGGGACTGTATGGTTTATGCCGGTAGCCATTCTAACGCTTCAACTGTTTCTTCCTGGTTATTTCTAGAATTTACTTGAACTATTTTGTTTTCGCTTTTTTAAACTTTACTAGTTTCAGAAATTCTACCCTAGAGAATCCGGTTCCGTCACAGACCTCATGGATCTTGTAGATTTGATGTATGCGGATGGGTAACATTGACCTGCCAAATTTAATTTTCTTGTTATCATATATGCTTTCCTATATGAAAACAAATCGACCTGTTATTGAGAACTGCTGACTACTGAACAACTGTTTAGAAACGACTTTTTTAAAAACATTGTTTAAAAATGGAAAGAAGAGTTGTTTGTATACAATTTCATAGCTATTGAAATATTCAGAGTGTTTGAAGACGACTTTGATTTCTCTTCTCACGATAGCTTAAGCAGGAGTCCACCAGGTGAAGAGAGGCCCTACGAGTATCTTGGAAGTAGTGTATCGGATATGTACGTTTTGTTCTTTTTGGAAGTTTTGTACCCATTCCTTAATATTTGTTTTCCGATGTGAGCAGATTTCCATTGCTCTAGCGGTAAACAATTTTGTTCCCGAGTTTTTTAAACTGCTTTTTATACTTTGTCGATATTTCAGTTTGCCAGAAGATTTTGACTTTTCTCTCTTCGAAGGTGACAATCAGGAAGCCGTTGTCAGTGTAAGCCTGCCATCGTCACCGGATGACAATTTTCCTGGTCCTGATGAGCAGATGGACAGTTCCATGTTCCCGTACATTACGGTTTGTTATGATAGTTTTCTGCCGTTAATTCCTTTCGTATTCCAGTAATTTACTTCTTGTATTTCTAAGTGGGATGGGAAAATTGACATTACAATCTACAAGAATTGTCCTCGTTAATCGTCAAATCATTTCTTTGCTGTAATCATGTATAAGTTGTCTGATGTTCCTTTCTTGGGTAGTTTTTTTTCGCCTAAGATTTTGTTACAACTCGTAGTTCACCTCATCAAAAATATCACTGCACATTTCTGAGGTTGGTTGAACTACGCTTTTAGTCCCACCCGTGTATCACTGAAACTTCAGATTCTCGATACTTATTCGTACTGTACACTATGTCATTGTCGGATTCCAAGGAATTTAGCCAACTATCGGACACACGTTCTAGGTAGACGTCATCAGTTAAACGGTGCTACTGAACGGTGCATTTTACCCCTTCTATTTCTTTTCCTAATCAAGTGAAACTGTCTTAGCAGTAAGTGTGTGGAACTCGCTTTGTTGCAGCTTAAGAGAAGGCAGCATTCCTGCAAGAGGTCGTCCGTACAACAGGCATCGAAGCCGTCACCAAACAAGGCGCACTCATATCGGAGCCACTGCATCTGGCCAAAATACTGGTTCAACAAATACACCTATTCGCATTTCTACTTCGCTTGCAGTTGAGAATGATGCAGGTACCTTCTCAAAAATTCTTTGTATTGTTTCTGGCGAGAAGAAAGTACATTGGATATGAATGCCTTATAGGGAGAATAATTCCGTCTGGATCTCCCAGCTGGTTGGAGTTCGCTCCACAACAGGGGAGTGATATCACAGATGATAGGACATCGTGGAGAGATAGTGCTGAAACAATTGTAGCCAATGCATCTGATAGGTCATCTGGTGAGATAAACCAAAATTATGTTATTTGAACAGACATACATAGAATTGTTACCAGGAAGAAGAAATTGGTCCGATTTCACTACTGAATGGCGTTATGGATGGAATCCTGGTAACTCGAATCCTCGTACTCATACTACTAATATGCCAAGGAGAAATCGTGGGACAGGCCAATCAAACAGGGGAAACATTGAAACTACAGCTTCTCGGCGTGGTAGCCAGCGACCACAGTCCTCAAATCATGGTGGAAATTTACCAGCAGGTGGAGTTAGCCGTGTCCCTGATGGCAGCTATACTTTTCGACAACCGCATCATCGATTTCTGACTGGCGATTCAAGAAGATTGAACCCAGGTGATGATAGATGGTTGGACGAGCTTCTCACTCACCGGCGTAATGAGGTTTCTTGGCTACTTCGATAAGTTCTGTAATTATGGGTTGTCATTCCGCCGAATAAGCACAACATTATTACACTTTTCATTACTGGTTGCTTGAAGATTGGTCTTTAATAAAGCACAATGTTCGTCTTTGTGTAAATGAATTGTTGCGAAATATGACAAGTTTAGGTGACTTTGTATCTCGTTTGTAGTTTCAAGGGCTTATGACCAAAGACCCACTCGTCATTCTTTTGTGTAGCTATGAAGTATGCTTCTTGCTCACTGAAATGAAGTCAATAATCCGTTATCGGGGCGTGTTACTCTATTTCAGTTAGCATGTATGCAGTAAATGCAGACGGTAAGACCTAAAATGCAACGTAGTTGCACAAAGTTTCTAGATTACGGCAATGGGGTGATTTTCTATCAGGGATTCCTCGTTGTTATGGAAATAGTTTCAACATGCCCATCAATGAAGCTTCACCGAATGGTTCCATGTATACTGAAAGGTGTTCGATAGAACTTGTTCTTCACGCATCGCAGCGTTGGATGCTAAATGATCGGTGATATCGCATTATTTACTTGTTTGCAATTTAAAATATAAACAACATGAACATAAAATAGCTTCCTAAAAACGGAAATCACAAAACATTGTACAAGAAAAAAGCTGCATAAAAACACGCACATATCTGATGCCACATTTTTGATGCGACGAGGCAGAGGTAATTTGCAATGGTGATTTCCAGCCATCCATTGAAAAAATAAGAGAGAAACAAGTTGAAGTACTGAGAAATCTGCATACCATTTCTGTCGTTTCGGTAACGCTATATAGGGTGCAATAATTTGATAACCGCATTGAGAATCTAATCAACTGTGGCTCTTAGTTGATCGAAGATTCTCCTTAGTAGTTTTTTCCTGTGTCTACCCCTTACAATCTGCAAATCAACTGGTCTTGACACTGGTTTCATGGTAAGATAGGCTCGCTGACAAGGAAAATCTTGTTAAAGGAGCAACAATTTGGATCTAAAAGGAGCCACAACAGAAAGACAGGTTATCTGGGTGAGTTAAGAGAGTTGGCATGTAACACTGAAAAAAAGAAAGTGCTTAAACTTATACTCGTGATAGCAAGAAACTAGGATCGCGCACCTAGAGAGAGACCAGGAACGTGCTCAAACTTTTGGAACGGTAGAAATTGTAAAGTAAACGTTCTATACTAATATTACACCTTTCTATGAAATGCTCTCAACTGCTCTACTGACTGGAAGAAACAACCCAAATTTCGTTAAGTTGGTACAATCCTTTAATCCTACATTTGATGTAGATAACCTCCAAATACGTACATCAAACTAGAAATTACTCATAGGTCACTATATTTAACTCTGCCCTAACAGATATTGCTTAGATACAGTCAAAAAGGTTCATAAATGATTACGTATTACTAGCAGTGAAATAAAAAGAACTAATCCGTGAAGAAACGTCATAAATGTGGATGCGGCTGTGATGTCGGAGGTGTTTGACGGAAAACGTATGGTTGCAGATGTCTTGTTAACATAGGTATTCCGGGAACCAACGGCACCATTGTTGCCTGTGGTACCATACCTGGTTGTACGTTGGGAAAATGCTCAACTCCCGTAGGACGCTGTCCCACCGTTGCCATCGACATGGCAACCGCTGAACAACTTGGACACGTACTGTCGTGGTGGCCACCGCCGAAATCCAAACGGAATGTACCTAAAAATAGTTATTCTATGTTTGACAATTCTGATTCATTCAATTAATTTTCAATCAACACCAATCAACAGAAAAGACTACTTTACACATGTGCGACGCATTCCTATCTACACTTTCAACCTGAATCGTCTAAATTTCAGTGCGACATGCGTATTTTTCGATGAAGTGGTGCGAAATTTGAAGACTCTACAGACTTATGGACGATAAGATTTATAACGTTTTAAAAACTCTCCTTTTGAAACAGAACGAGGTTGCCACCATGCATTTTCATGTTCGATCGCTAGTGTTCGAAGACGACTTCACTCACTTCAGAACCTTGACGTATTATCATGTAACCGTTTATTGTTCAGTCAACATTCCAGGGTCTGAGCAAAAAACTAGTTTGTAATTCCTAGAACCGACATTCTTTTAACGTTGCTATTATTCAATAGATCAATACTTTCTTCTTCAGCAGAAACGAGGTTATTAATAACAAAGTTTATTCAATACGCGTCATCTCTGCTAGCTAACGCAATACAGACTGCTGCAAGGCGGTTTGTCCGTTGGAAAACAAATTATTGTCAACGGGCAAACAGTATTATCATCCTTCAAACCTTCCTGCATAAAAGAGCATAGCTGGGTGCCCCATTCGACCAGTGCTGTAGTAAAAAGGATTCTACTTGGCACGACGAAGAAGACACCATATACAGAAGAAGAGAACCTGTGGACCATCGACTAGAAACATTGGCTCCGAGGTTTATCAACCAACCTCGTGTTAGGTTATCAATGAAAGAATACTTAATCAATACAATACTGGCAGACGTTTCGGCGGATTTCGCTAATTCAGGGCCTTGAATGGTCAAACTATACTCAACAAAATCTCTCCATAACCTCAACATAGGAGCCACAAAACCGGAATTTCTATTGCAATGGAATCAAAACATCTTCACACATCACTCACTATGAATTCTTTGCATGCTCCACGTGGAAACCAACCGCATAATGTCTTACACAGATGGGTAATCAGCCCTTTTCACGTTAAAATATCAGTATGCGATATCGAGTGAGATCATATGTGTTCATAAGGCGCTGTTCACTGTGGTTCAATTTATGGACTTCCGGAGTGTATGCAAAATGCTTCAAGTACGCGCCGAAGTCTTCCATTCCTGTGCGAGTATAACAATTTCTATCTCAAAATCTCCGTTATGTCCATGGGACCTATAGGTCCTGGTGGGATACTTTGCTTAGTTTTACACTTGCTGTCTAGGAGCACCATTGTACGGACGTAGAGTAATCTACCCATTCATTCAACGTATTCGTCTCCACATGCTTTACAATCACCATCTCTACCGTCAGGGCAAGCTATGCGATTTTGTATTATACTCAGATTGTCAAACAAGAGGTTAAGAACTAATGTTTTAGGGTGTTCGGTAGCATTTCAGTCACCGCTATGAAATTCTCAAGACTTCCCATCATTAAGCATTATTTTAGTCCTTCCTTCGTTTTCGAGGAGTGGTTCTTCCTCGAAAAACATCCAGAGGATCTACCGTTTCGTAGGCATTGGAAATCGCTGCTTGCAGCGCCAATTTCAAGGATTTTTTCGTCTGCTCTTCTTGCATATACTAGTGGCTGCTCGAATCTTGTTTCTCATAAGCTCCCTTTTGTGTGCGGAGAGTGAGAGGAGAAGTAATGAACCAGTACGTTTTTGGTACTTGGCTTTTAGTACAATTTGGTGATGTAGCAATTTTCTGGATAGGTTCAATTTTAGCGTTCAAAGATGGAAGCTTGTCCTCTTTTGGTTCCTCTCGCGTGAATTTTATGTGCTCTGGCTGTTCGTTTAAGAACTCAAAACATTTATCCATTTCCTCTTGTGTCAAGCAGATGGCAAAACAGTTATACCTAAAGTAGTATAGTTGCCGGAAATCAACTACTGTGTCAATTAGATACTAGTTAACCAGATATGTTAGATATTCGAACTCCTTAGATACTACTTGCTTGAGTGTAAAGAATTTTATTAAAAATAAGTTCCCTCCTTTTTTTATGGTCGAACAATATCACATTATCGTAATACAACATGATCCATTCATAGTTCTCCATAAAACAGAATGGTCAAAACCTCATACACATCTCAGCTCACCTCAATGTCAACTGTTTTGAACGACAAAATTATTTGCTTAGAACAGCGCTCGCTTTCACCTATTTATCTTTCGAGGTTCAAACGGACTTCAACGCTCTAGAATTGATTTATATTCTAGCGAAAATAAATCGACTTTTAACCCTAATACTTACCCAATTGTTCAAACACATTCCAGCCCATCTTACAAGCACCCGAGTGTTCCTGGATAGTCTACATAACGCGCCTTAACAGCGTATACGTGATGGACTCCTTCGACGTTACAGCCCTTTATACAAATGTGTCGAGTAACTTCACAAAATAAGCCATTCGCCAGCTCCTTATACAACACGAAGAAGCAATAAACATGCATGGTTTCTCGATTCGACAGGTGATCACACTCTTAAAGGAGTGCCTAAACTGCTCAATCTTCAGATAGTCCAGCAAATATTACGCATAAATGAAAAGACTTGGCAATGGGACAGCAATTGGCACCAAGCCTTGCCACTGCCTTTATGTCTAAAGTGGAAGCACCAGTAATCGATCTCCAGACATTGCTCCGCTGTAGATATATAGATAATTGTTTTGTCATCTGCTTCATTAACAGCAGTTTCAAATAATAATTACGAGACCCTGCATAAACGACTGGAATGATCCTACAAGACAAGTCATTCTCGTGATCCCGTAAAACATAAAGAGGAAAGAATCATGTATAGGTTGTCGACTTGAAAGCTTACGAGCCTCTTGAGGAAGTGTGTTAACCGTTCAGTCTTTAGGTGCCTAGGTTGTTTCGAGATATTACACCCAAATAAGAGGGCTGGCAATGGAACAGCGATTGGCACCCGTCTCGCCATCACCCTTGTAAATCGAAGCTTCTGCCTTACCAATGTCGCTGTTGTTCCAAAATTGTAAACGGGATCAGACTATCGCCTCCTTCATGTGACATTTCATTTCTCGCACAAAGCAGAAAGAACAGCTAAATACAAAAACCGAAATCTCGAATTACCATTAACTGGGATTTATTCAAATCACTAGTCAGCTGTTGGGAAGATGGTGTTTTCAATAAAATCAACGAGAAATACGATCAGCTCACTCAACATCTTCACGTTAGCGCTATGAAAGCTGAGAGTTCGAAAGTAGCCAAAAGTCGTTTGTCTCCAAAAAAACTAGAGCTGATACGCCAGCGTGGAATTGCACGAGCCGCAGACAACCGCCAACTCACGTCCGAACTTGCAAAATAATGCAGACAGGCGATAAAAGATCTTAAAGAGAGAAAACCAGCAGTTATCGTCGAAGCTACAGAGGCTTGGAAAAGCATTGGCAAAACCCCTGAACCTTTGCCAATTACAAAACCAAGATTGCATTACGACGCCCAGACGGAACAGTTACAGCATCTAGAAGGGCAATGGAGAGAATCATTCACGACTACTACTCAGATCTCTTCACTAGCAACGTCCTCCCTCTCTCATAAGAAATAAAGGAAAATGGATATGCCGTGCCACCGATTCCCCCTTCCAATATGTTACTTCGTCAGGGAAAAACCGAACACCGCCAGGTCCGGTTAAGATAAGATCTGAGCAACTGAAAAACCTTTCCTCGGATATCATAAACACACTGGCCCGGCTCTTCACACGTTACCTGTCTGAATGGAAAGTCCAAACTCAATGGAAGACCGCGTTCAAGAAGGGTGACCTCCACGTTATCGGCAATTATCGCCCCATCTGCTTGCTCTCCTTCGTCTACAAACTTTTCACTCGAGTCATCTTAAGCAGGAATGACAGAACATTATACGACGGGCAGCCATGTGATCAAGCTAGGTTTCGAAAATGATTCAATGCAGTGGACCACATTCACACAATAACAAGATTCACTGAAGCATCGCAAGAGTACAAAAGACCGCTCCGTCTCACTTTCACAGATTTGAAGAAGCGCTCTGACTCCATTGAGATAGTAGTCATGGAAGCCCAGGACGGGCAAGGACTCCCACCTCACTATGTAAGGAATCCTCGTGAGCTGTATAAAACTTCACAACAAGCATATCACCATTCTACAACGATATTAACATCGACTTCAAAAAAGTGGTTAGGCAAGACGATACCATCTCGTCCAAATTATTTACCGCCACCCTGGAGAACGTCATGCTAACGTTGGAATAGGCCAATACGGAGTAAAAATCGATGGTTTGCAGTTACATCACCTTCGCTTCGCTGATGACGTCGTTTTTATAACACCAAACTTTGGCCAACAGGAACGAATGCTTGCCGGCTTTGATAAAACCTGTGTAAAAAATTATTCGTCTTCGACTACATCCCACAAAAACGACGTTTATAAGAAATCGTTACATACGCAGCGTTCATGCTCAATGGAATGAATGCTCCAGTTGCGTCTATCTAAATCGCGAAATCAACATCACGAATGACTTAGCTCTAGAGTCGAACAGAAGGGAACGAACGACTTGGGGAGCATTCAAGAGCATCGAAGATGTAGGAAAGAGAACAAAGAACACCATACTCCGTGCCCACCTTTTCGACTCGGTCCTGGTCGTTGCGTAAGCAGGATGAAAGATCACTCAGCGTTATTGAACGCGCAGTCGAAAGGACGATGGTAGGAATATACCGTTCCCCATAAGTAAAGGTTGGGATCCGAAGCTCCGATCTGCGTCAACGATCAAAAATCAAAGATGCCGTTCTGTACGCCAAACAGTCGAAGATAAGGTGGGCCAGACACGTAGTGCGTATGAATGACAACCGATGGACAAGAGCCGTTAGTGACTGAATTCCTCGGTATGTCAAACGTACTGCAGGAAGACCACCGACTCCATGGTCAGAGTTCTTGACGGAGAGTCTAGAAGAAAGGTTTGATGCTCAACGAGTGCCTAAAGCGAACCCATGGCCTACTCTTAGAGGCGACAGAGAAGAATGGAAGCTTTATTGACGCCCGCTGGGTGACAGGTGATAAACGTGAAACACCGTTAAGAATTGCCTAAAAAGCAGTCATCTAGAAAGTTAGGTTGCAATTATTGAACTTCCACCGAGAACCCTTTTCCGCCAATTAGTTCGGAAGCGCCCGTACGCTATCCACGTATAGCAGAATATTGTGTAATGTCCTAGGTGAATATGTAGATTGCATGAATGAGGGCACAAACAATGTACCTAATCTCTCGTTAGATGTGCGACGACAAGTACATTGGCAAACGAGTAGACGGCTTTATATGCAAACAAAAGAGCATGACGGGAGGCTCAAAATCCACCAAAGTACTCCTTTAGGTAGTTTGGACGTGGGCAGTCATAAATCACATGTAGCGATTGGAAACACCAAAGAGCAAATCAGGACTTCCATGACTTCTATCTCAACTGCGTCAAAGGCCTACTTTAAATCGATGAAAGTGAGACAGAACGGTCTTTTGTACTTTCGCGATACATCGTGAGTCTTCTTACCATGTGGATGTGCTCTATCGTACTAAATCCTTTTCGAAACCTTGCTTGCTCACATGGCTGTCCTTCGTCTAGTGTTCTATCAATCCTGTTTAAGATGAAGAATTTGCAGACTACAGACATCAAGCAAATTGGGCGATAGCTGCCGATGTCGTGAAACTCACCCTTCTTGAACAATAACACGATCTTGTTGGTCTTACACTGAGTAGGGAGCTTGCATTCAGATAGATGAGTGAAAAGCGGGGCCAGTGTGTTTACGAGGACTGGCAGAGGTTCTTCAGGTGTTCTGGTCTTATTCTGTTCTGACCTGGCGGTGTTCGATTTTTCACCGACGAAAGGGCATGTCGGATTTCGGAAGGGAGAACCAGTGGTACAAACTATCCATCCTCCTTTATTTCATATGACGGAAGCTGGAAGTGGCTTTCGAGAGATCCGAGTGGTGTTCGTGAATGATTTTATCCATTGTCTTTCTCGAAGCTGTAACTGATCCGTCTGGGCGCCGGAGTGCAATCATTTTCGTCTTGTCATTAGCGAAGCTTCGGTGTGCTTTACGAATGCTTTTCCAGCCTCTGCAGCTTCGGCCATTACTGCTGCTCTTCTCTCTCTAAGATCTTCTTTTATCGCCTGTCTGCATTGTTTTGTAAGTTCGGACGTTAGTTCGCGGCTCCCTGCAGCTCGTGCGATTCCACGCTGGCGTATCAGCTCGAGTGTTTCTGGAGACAAACGTCTCTTGGTGACTTTCGAACCCACAGCTTTCATAGCGATAACGTTAAGATGTTAAATGAGCCGAACGTATTCCTCGTCGATGTTATCGCCAAGTCATTTTCCGAATGGTCCACTAATGAATCTTTCCACGAAAAATAGAATCTTTCACGAAGGAGGCGAGGGTCCGATCCCGTTTACAATTTTGGGACAACAGCAACATCGGTTAGGCAAAACCTTCTATTTACTATGATGTGGTCTACTTCGTTATGGTACTCTTCATTGGGAGACTCCCACGTCAAGCGCTGAGGGTGGGGCTTCTGGAACTGCGAGTTACCATGGATTGTCTTGGTCGCCATGATAAACTCAGACAGCAGCTCACTCGATTCGTTCCATTCTAATCCGTGGGTCCCAATGTGACGTTCTTCTTGGTCCAATCTTGGCGTTGAAGTCTCCAATGATGACCTTGAAGAATGTGTGGTCTTCTCTGTAGAACTTCTCCAAATCTACACAGAACGCTTCGATTTCCTCGTCATAGTTTGATGTTGGCGCGTAAACGACAAAGATTGTCAAAACCGGTATTGATCAACATCTTTTTAATCGTAAGTGTCCAATTCGTGCTGTTAGCTGTTCGAATGAATCGATGTTCATGAACAAACTCGTGTTGACGAAAACACCGACGCCGTCGACTCCTCTACTGTCGCATGTTCAGAGGAACAGTTCCTATCCGGTGTCATAGACGGTTTTGAATGAGTGGCGTCGTCTCGTCTCGACTAGGCCGATAACGTCGACTTTATCGAATAATAAAGACGGCCGCATAAAAATATTCTTCGGTTATAAAGGAAACGAGAGACAGGCGGAACGAAAGACTCGCATGGTGTGGTGGTGACCGCTTTACTCCCCGGAAAGAACAACAGAGCGTTCATTCCCCACCGCAAACACCTGCGGTCCGAAGTTTTGCAAATATTTCGGCACCGTTAAAAGTTATACTTCGCAATATACCCTGCCATAAAAAACAGTGGGCAGTAAGTAAAACGGTTAAAATTTTGATCATACCTCACCTTAGTTTGGAAAGGAGAGCTGGTGAGACAACATGCACTAATTAACGCCGAAGTTAATTCGGAGTCGAGCTCCCGAAATTTAAGCCCTTAAAATTTTGAATAAGGAAAAGACTAGTGCAGTGATATTGGTGTCGATCATCACAATCATGGTGCTCGTTCGACTTCGCCTCGGGCCCAGCAAGCCTCTCATTCCTCCGGGTTGGGAAATTGGTATGAGACTTCTCCGAGAAAAGTCCACTCTCCGCAATCCAAAAAGCAACGCTTTTATCTCAGCATTCCAGTAAGAATCTGTACCACCAGAATTCATAGACGTTAACTTCGAAAAAACATCCTCAAGTAGCAGTCGAACCCATACGCAAAAAGTTGGTAGACCTTCATGGATGGTGGGCGCGCGGAAACGAATCGAATGCACGACCCTCCGACACACCAAGCCCTCCATCCCTCTGGGGTCGGCAACTTGGTACCAGACTTGTCTGGGAGGATGGTAGCACTGGCTCGATACATCAGTAGGTCATCGCGAACCACTGTAAAGACCAAATATGCATTGAATCGCCTCCAACGATGCTTAATGTAATCGAATGCATGGCGCATCCATCAGGGATAGATCAACGCCGAGAACTCTATCCGATTTGTTCACTGTTCTACCTCAACGAAGCTGAGATAATTGCGAAAGATAGACCCCAGACCAGATGCGAACTCACGATAACCCTTTCCAGAAGCTCACGTGTTATGCAACACACCAGTAAGGCCTTCGTTCTGCCTTTTTCTGAGCCAGTTTTTTATCCTAACGGTGCCATCAGCGATCACTCCTCAGTGGGAATGATCTGTGAAGCACAAATTGCAGTTGAGGCTGTGAAACTGTTTGAAAAAAACTGGCAGATCGAAAGGCAAAGCAAGGGCGTCAGTAGTGGAATGGGTAACATATCAGCTCCCAGAAAAGATAATCGCGAGTTCGAATATGGCCTATGGTCTAAGTTTTGCAAATAACTCAGCATCATTGTGGTTGTATTTCACATATACTGCCGTGAAAAAATAGTGGAAAGTAAATAAAATGTTACAGACTGAAATAAAATAGTTTTAAGTGCTATCAAAACATCTACAAATAGCAATGCATCTGAAGATATTGTGTCTTGAAGTGCCATTTGACCAACCGCTTCGCTGTACGAAACAGGAGACTCCACAAAAAAAACGAAGTGTTCTTTTTGCTTTGCTTATAAAATACTAGTTTTTCCCTCTGGAGAATAAGAAGCGTTTCAGAAAAAAAGTGGTGTATAGCACAGATTTTTATCTGAATCGGAAGGGCCCACTAAGAGCGATGTTTGACTGAAGTCGAAAGGCGCAAATATTTTCATCAATGATTAGCTACTACAATATATCGGCTCATGTTAGGATGAGAATGCTAAAACTAGTACACGCTTTATAAAAGCTTACCGTCCTTTTGAAAATGAGTATCCTTGGGGCATTGAACAAAAGCATGAGGACCCGCACAACTGCTACATGATGGAAATTGCACCTAAATATGTAGTCACGGTGAATGCAATTAAGCATAGAAAAATTATGAACTATCAATTCTCTAGGTCAGCAAGAGGTTGAAATATGAAAAAACAATAAAGGAAAAAATGTGAATGACAATTCTTTCAAAAGTAAAAAGAAATTTAAAACCGCTGAGATCAAGCAGTGCCTCCATGTAAACACTCATTTATTGAATTAGTGTTCTGAAGCACAAAAGTACTTCCTGAAGNGAAAAACACTGGCATAGTCACATTAGAGGGAAAGAGAACCAGAACCAAGGAAACAAAACATGCAATAATGATTTTCGGAACAAACAAGGTTTATAAAAGACGAATGTGATCAACAACTACCTGAGTATGAGTAATGTTTTCTTGAGTTGGGACTTCATCCTTCCGCTCCAAACTGGATTCCTGCAAAGGCAAGTGATGTGCACAAAGTGCAAGTCCACAACGTTGCAAGACCCGGACATCCCGATATAACTCTGTGGCATATCACAGGATAACCGTTTAAGACAATGTGTCTAATCATGCAAAACTACTGCGAGTGCATGCAATGAATTTTGAACAGACTTTGAACAAAGTGGTAACTACATCGACTTTTACGGAGCCACTAGTGAAGTGACACGCCAGAAAGTAGTAAAAGAACATTCGGTATGTAGTCAAATATCACCATCACCTGGATCCCTGCACCACGAGAGCTGTACGCAAGAGCTGCTGAGGCTACGGGATAAATTACCGGAGAGGAAACTGGATGTGTGTAACGTTGAAGAGATGGAGAAGTAGTTGGTATTGAGCGCTCTGCTACCTAAAAATAGTCTCTTCACGAAGAGGTCACTATGTGCTTGACGAAACACACCTCTAATTCTTCGGAGCTAAGTCGAGATGCGAAAAATTGCTCGTATATCACAGAACTCAACATCATTCGAGCTGGCAAATCAGAAAGAGCATTTATGTATTGTATGACGGCAGCTGGAGAACAATCCATAGAGAAGTAAGGCAATATCCGTAACGCAGATGTCCCTACAAGAAAGCAGCAGATTAGTAATAAATAATGGGTAGGGGTATATAGGGATGATAAGTCAATGTAACAAACAGGCTTACCGACAGCTGGGGTCGGTGTTGCATTTGAGTCAGTGGCAGTGGGAGATGCTGTTCGAGAGGAACATGCCGACTCTGGCTGCTCAGCATTGACATCCTGCGCCTGCTTCATTTCACGCCGTTCCTCGCCAAACATGTCCAAAAGTCGGTGATGTAGTGTGTTAATGTCATTGCGTGTGCGCCCAACAAAAGTGCGTTCTCCATCACTCCAGATCATCTGAAGAGCAACAGCATAAACTAATACATGAAAAGCACCTGCAACCATACACTTAACTTACGAATAGAAATATGAGAAAGTAACAACTGTGCACTCTACCTCTACAAGAAAGTTATCAATATCGTTGAGATCTGGTTGAGTAGCGCGAAACCGGCGCACGAAGGCGAAACCTCCTGCTAGAGGCGATGTGCTACAGCTAGTCAATCTTGATTTTGAATCGGATACCGAAGAACGTGATGTGGGTTGATGCACCCTCTCTGTGATTTGTTCTAATTTATTCCTTATTTCATCTCTGACATGTACCAAGCGAATCCGCTGGTCAACAGAGAAGGCAGGATGATGTATTGAAGCTGACACTAAAAGAATAATAATAACGGGACCTATGCATTCATATCACTTAAAGTTGATTTGGATTACATTACAGCAAAGGTAAGCTGATAATTCTAATCATGAATAACATTTACCAAGTTTGCCGAGGTTAATCAACACTTCTCGGCGTGCTTCATTCGTGGAGAGCACCTCCAGCTCCATATCTCGAATTTCCATCAGATGATCGATTAAACGAACTAGTGCATACGCAGCTTGGCGATTAGTCGAGTTCAGCAAGCAAACAACGTTATAAGCTGCTTCTACCTTGAGAGCGTAGGGTATTTTACCCCTGCAACAAGTACTGCACTGCAGAAACAAAGGTAGTAGAAAAGACGACTAACATCTCTGCGGCCATTGTGTTGATGAATTGAGGGCAATTTGAACGAGTTTCATGCTGTCGCATCGTTGGCGTCGATGACGCAGGACGTGCGGCGCCCTCAACGCATGCACCTAACAGGCGAAGTTCGTAGACATTCAGAAAGGAAATTAATTCACAGATTGTTTCGACACGATCCCAAGACGACATCTGCATAGTAGTTAATGCTTTAAGCCGTTAAAAAACAGGCAATCACATATCAATAAAACACGAATTTTGCCAACCATGTAAAGAATCGGGGTAAGCAATACAATGTTTAGGAAAAGATTCTAGATGGAATTTTGAAAGAAGTACTCTTATTACTATTAGTCGCTTTGAATAATAGACGCAGAATACATCCTTAACTCGATGGAAGTGAACTTACAGATAGCACATTGAGTAAGCCATCACCGTTACCACTGGCTAACTCTG